GGATGGACCTTGGGATCTGGGAAAAAAATGCCATACGTTTCCTTAAAGAATTGAGTTCCAGACTCATCGATACCACCCAGGACCCAAGGGCAGCCACTTTCATGTTCCAGCACCTCAGCATAGCCATCCAGAGGGGAAATGCTTGCTGCATACTTGGCTCGCATCCAGCCTCGGAGGAGCTGGAGGAAATTCGTGATCTTTAATACATTGTGCCATTGTATTCATGATTGTTTTTTCTGTAAATAAGTGTTCACATAGAATATAAAATATATAGGGGGTAGTAGGAGAAGAAAATATTCAAACAGCTCCAGGGAGAACCTTGAGTTTTCACTGAGGTACGTTTATTGTCTTCTCTGAGGATGAGGGTCCCCATTCCAGCTGTAGAGGTGGTACTTCCCTATTTATACATACACACACACCACACACACACACACACACCACACACACACACACACACACACACACACATATATATATATATATATATATATATATATATATTATATATATATATATATATATAGGGCAAGGAGGAATAACATCTTGTAGGAGTGAGGAAGAGCCAGTTGTGAGTGTGGGGGAAGTTTGTGAGACAGTAGGTAAAATGAAAGGGGGTAAAGCAGCTGGAATTGATGGGATGAAGATAGAAATGTTAAAAGCAGGCGGGGATATAGTCTTGGAGTGGTTGGTGCTATTATTTAATAAATATATGGAAGAGGGTAGGTACTTAGGGATTAGCAGAGAGCATGCATAGTTCCTTTGTATAAAGGCAAAGGGGACAAAAGAGAGTGCAAAAATTATAGGGGGATAAGCTGCTGAGTATACTTGGTAAAGTGTATGGTAGAGTTATTATTGAAAGAATTAAGAGTAAGATGGAGAATAGGATAGCAGATGAACAAGGAGGCTTTAGGAAAAGTAGGGGGTGTGTGGACCAGGTGTTTACAGTGAAACATTTAAGTGAACAGTATTTAGATAAGGCTAAAGAGATTTTTGTGACTTTTATGGATTTGGAAAAGGCGTATGACAGGGTGGATAGGGGGGCAATGTGGTAGATGTTGCAAATGTATGGAATAGGAGGTAGGTTGCTGAAAGCAGTGAAGAGTTTTTACGAGGATAGTAAGGCTCAAGTTAGAGTATGTAGGAAAGAGGGAGATTATTTCCCAGTAAAAGTAGGCCTTAGACAAAGATGTGTGAAGTCACCATGGTTGTTTAATATATTTATAGATGGGGTTGTAAGAGAAGGAAATGCGAGGGTCTTGGCAAGAGGCGTGAAGTTAAAAGATAATGTGGAGAAATTTTCTCCAGGAGGGGGTATCAGCCCCCTTCAGCCCCTTTCAGCCCTGAGGGGCCCAGCCCTCTCAGAAGGGGAAAGCATCTTGCTTACTGCTACAGGGAGTAATTGATCCCAGATGCAGTACGAGTATGCGACGTGGTCAAGCGACTGACGCTCCTTGCAGTCCAGTGTTGCAAAGTGTAGTTTAATAAAAAACAGTCCATCTCTTACCTTAGCAGGACAATTAAGGAAAATCCTGCTCCCACTTTATTACCTTGGTAAAAATAGTGTACATTGTTGTTTATGCTTAAGACAGCAAGAATCAAATATTCTGCTTTGCTTCATGGAGGAAGTTTGGCAAGGAAGCAAAAATGCTAGGTCAGCTTTTCCTTTATGTGCTAGGGGCAGTGACGGCATGGGGCATTGTGAGGTCAGATTACTTTTGACTCTACTGAGAGTCACACTGACACCAGGATAACTAACAAAGAACACTGATCCATGTGTTAGTGTGAACAAAGTGTCTCACAAAACACGATAAACACTTACAGAGAAGTGTGATCAACTTCTTAGTGATATTGTGTGAACAATTATTGATGAGCAGTGTAACAACGAGTGTTGCTATCCAACAGTGTAGTGCGACATTCTTCAAAGAACACTGTTCTTCAATCAACTCATCGGATATCCGGGCGTAACTACGGGTCAGATGCATATACCCAGGTAAGTGTTCTAACTCGTGATGTACTACTATTGACTGCGCAGTTGAGTCGAAGTTACGAGTTAGTCACATCATAAACCCCAGTGATTAGCGGATTTTTGAGCCCACACACGTAAGTTAGTCAGCAGTCAGTGAATGAAATATGCTGACATAACACCCCCTAGGGGAAATTTATGATTAACCTAATATTCATTTTCAGGCCATTGTGAAATGGATGATACAGCTTCTCAAGACCTCGTCTGCAGGTGCGGCTGTGCAGGCGATGAGCTGTCTTTCTAAACTAAGTTTTCCCTATTTTTAAAATTAGCTGGTAAACCATTTCTCAACAGATAAAGAATCACACATAAAGTGGGAGTTGTCACAGTTGCTCTTTGCTGATGACACTGTGCTTTAGGAGATTCTGAAGAGAAGTTGCATAGGTTGGTGGATGAATTAGGTAGGGTATGTAAAAGAAGAAAATTAAAAGTGAATACAAGAAAGAGTAAGGTTATGAGGGTAACAAAAAGATTAGGTGATGAAAGATTGGATATCAGATTGGAGGGAGAGAGTATGGAGGAGGTGAATGTATTCAGATATTTGGGAGTGGACGTGTCAGCAGATGGATCTATGAAAGATGGGTGAATCGTAGATTTGATGAGGGGAAAAGGGTGAGTGGTGCACTTAGGAGTCTGAGGAGACAAAGAACTTTGTCCTTGGAGGCAAAGAGGGGAATGTATTAGAGTATAGTTTTACCAATGCTCTTATATGGGTGTGAAGCATGGGTGATGAATGTTGCAGTGATTAGAAGGCTGGAGGCAGTGGAGATGTCATGTCTGAGTTCAATGTGTGGTGTGAATATAATGCAGAGAATTCGTAGTTTTGAGGTTAGGAGGAGGTGCGGGATTACCAAAATTGTTGTCCAGAGGGCTGAGGAAGGGTTGTTGAGGTGGTTCGGACATGTAGAGAAAATGGAGCGAAACAGAGTGACTTCAAGAGTGTATCAGTCTGTAGTGGAAGGAAGGCGGGGTAGGGGTCGGCCTAGGAAAGGTTGGAGAGAGGGGGTAAAGGAGGTTTTGTGTGCGATGGCTTGGACTTCCAGCAGGCATGCATGAGCGTGTTTGATAGGAGTGAATGGAGACAAATGGTTTGTAATACTTGACGTGCTGTTGGAGTGTGAGCAAAGTAACATTTATGAAGGGTTCAGGGAAACCGGCAGCCGGACTTGATCCGGGAGATGGGAAGTACAGTGCCTGCACTCTGAAGGAGGGGTGTTAATGTTGAATTTTTAAAAATTGTAGTGTAAAGCACCTTCTGGCAAGACAGTGATGAAGTGAATGATGGTGAAAGTTTTTCTTTTTTCGGGCCACCCTGCCTTGGTAGGAATCGGCCAGAATTAATAAAAATAAACAAATAATATATATGTACATGTACATGTGTATGTGTGTGTAGTTTGTGTAAATATTAGTGTAATAAACAGAGAATAACACCTGGGTGACAGTTGAAAGTCTGGAGTTACATACCTGATGAACCACGCACACAGTTCTTCAAGACAGAACGCGTCAGGTTCAGGTTGTTGACACAGTTCAGACATGTTACGTTGTTACGGCCACACAGTTTTCCTGCAAGAGAACCAGATGTTAGTTCCTTACTTTGTGTAATATGGTAGTGAAACACCGGGTGCTAATACCAAGTGTTAGTGTACAACACAACGTGTTATTACTGACTCATGTTAGTGTACCCCACAACGTGTTATTACTGACTCATGTTAGTGTACCCCACAACGTGTTATACTGACTCATGTTAGTGTACCCCACAACGTGTTATTACTGACTCATGTTAGTGTACCCCACAACGTGTTATTACTGACTCATGTTAGTGTACCACACAACGTGTTATTACTGACTCATGTTAGTGTACCCCACAACGTGTTATACGACTCATGTTAGTGTACCACACAAGTGTTATTACTGGATCTTTGTTAGTGTAGCACACAACATGTTATTACTGACTCATGTTAGTGTACCACACAACGTGTTATTACTGACTCATGTTAGTGTACCACACAACATTTTAATTAACTGACTAAAGTTAGTGTACCACAAAACGTGTTATTACTGACTCTTGTTAGTGTACCACACAACATGTTATTACAGACTCATGTTAGTGTAGCCAAAAACGTGTATTACTGACTCATGTTAGTGTACCACACAACATGTTATTACTGACTCATGTTAGTGTACCACACAACGTGTTATTACTGACTCATGTTAGTGTACCACACAACATGTTATTACTGACTCATGTTAGTGTAGCACACAACATGTTATTACTGACTCATGTTAGTGTAGCACACAACGTGTTATTACAGACTCATGTTAGTGTAGCACACAACATGTTATTACTGACTCATGTTAGTGTAGCACACAACATGTTATTACTGACTCATGTTAGTGTAGCACACAACATGTTATTACTGACTCATGTTAGTGTAGCACACAACATGTTATTACTGACTCATGTTAGTGTAGCACACAACATGTTATTACTGACTCATGTTAGTGTAGCACACAACGTGTTATTGACTCATGTTAGTGTACCACACAACGTGTGGTAGTGCTGTTAACGATACCACTGCAGTTGCTAGTGCTGCTAACGATGCCAATGCAGTTGCTAGTGCTGTTAACGATGTCACTGCGCCTGCTAGTGCTCTTAACGATGCCACTGCAGTTGATAGTGTTGTTAACGATGCAACTGCACGTGCTAGAGCTATTAACGATGCTACTGCAGTTGCTAGTGCTGTTAACGATTCCACCGCAGTTGCTAGTGCTGTTAACGATGACACTGCAGCTGCTAGTGCTGTTAACGATGCCACCGCAGTTGCTAGTGCTGTTAACGATGACACTGCAGCTGCTAGTGCTGTTAACGATGCCACTGCAGCTGCTAGTGCTGTTAACGATGCCACTGCAGCTGCTAGTGCTGTTAACGATGCCACTGCAGCTGCTAGTGCTGCTAACGATGCCACTGCAGCTGCTAATGCTATTAACAATGCCACTGCAGCTGCTAGTGCTGTTAACGATGCCACAGCAGCAGCTGGTGCTACTAATAATATAACTGCAGCAGCTGGTGATACTAATAATATAACTGCAGTAGCTGGTGATACTAATAATATAACTGCAGTAGCTAGTGCCACTAATAATATCACTGCAGCAGCTGGTGCTACTAATAATATCTCTGCAGCTGCTAGTGCTGTTAACGATGCCACAGCAGCAGCTGGTGCTACTAATAATATAACTGCAGCAGCTGGTGATACTAATAATATAACTGCAGTAGCTGGTGCCACTAATAATATCACTGCAGCAGCTGGTGCTACTAATAATGTCACTGCAACAGCTGGTGCTACTGGTAATATCATTGCAGCAGCTGGTGCTACTAATAATATCACTGCAGCAGCTGGTGCTACTAATAATGTCAGCAGCAGCTGGTCTACTGGTAATATCATTGCAGCGGGCTGGTGCATAATAATATCCACGCAGCAGCGGGTGTACTGGTAATTCATTGCAGCAGCTGGTGCTACTAATAATATCACTGCAGCAGCTGGTGCTACTAATAATATCACTGCAGCAGCTGGTGCTACTAATAATATCACTGCAGCAGCTGGTGCTACTAATAATATCACTGCAGCAGCTGGTACTACTAATAATATCACTGCAGCAGCTGGTGCTACTGATAATATCACTGCAGCAGCTGGTGCTTTTAATGCTAATTCATCATAACTAATATTGCTAATTAATCAACCTATATTACTACTCTAATATAACTTATACTATTGATACTAACTTTAACATAAGCTGTGATAATTCTCCTTATACTACTACAACCTTCTACACTACGATCATACAACTAATACTACAACCATCAAGACTTACTACAACAATACAACTAATACTACAACCTTCAAAACTTACTACAACAATACAACTATTACTACAACCTTCAAGACTTACTACAACAATACAACTAATACTACAACCTTCAAGACTTACTACAACAAAAACAACTATTACTAAAACCTTCAAGACTTACTAACAATACAATAAAAAAAAAAAAAACTACAACTTCAAGATTTACTACAACAATACAACTAATACTACAATCTTCAAGACTTTACTACAAAAATTTACAACTATTACTACAACCTTCAAGACTTACTAAAAAACATACAAACTATTACTACAACCTTCAAGACTTACTACAACAATACAACTAAATTACTACAACCTTAAAGGGACTTACTACAACAATACAACTAATACTACAACCTTCAAGATTTACTACAACAATACAACTATTACTACAACCTTCAAGACTTACTACAACAATACAACTATTACTACAACCTTCAAGACTTACTACAACAATACAACTAATACTACAACCATCAAGACTTACTACAACAATACAACTATTACTACAACCTTCAAGACTTACTACAACAATACAACTATTACTACAACCTTCAAGACTTACTACAACAATACAACTATTACTACAACCTTCAAGACTTACTACAACATACAACTATTACTACACCCTTCAAGACTTACTACAACAATTTAAAAACTATTACTACAACCTTCGAGACTTACTACAACAACGTAACTATTACTACAACCTTCAAGACTTACTAAAAACAATGAAAACTATTACTACAACCTTCAAGACTTACTACAAAAAATTTACAACTATTACTACAACCTTCAAGACTTAACTACAACAATACAACTATTACTACAACCTTCAAGACTTACTACAACAATACAACTATTACTACAACCTTCAAGACTTACTACAACAATACAACTAATACTACAACCTTCAAGACTTACTACAACAATACAACTATTATTTAAAACCCTTCAAGACTTATTTACAACAATACAACTAATATTTACAACCTTCAAGACTTACTAAAACCCAATACAACTATTACTACAACCATCAAGACTTACTACAACAATACAAACAAAATACTACAACCATCAAGACTTACTACAACAATACAACTAATACTACAAACCTTCAAGACTTTCTACAACAATACAACTATTACTAAAAACCTTCAAGACTTACTACAACAATACAACTAATACTACAACCTTCAAGACTTACTACTCAATGTAACTATTCTACAACCTTCAAAAATTACTACAACAATACAACTATTACTACAACCTTCAAGACTTACTACAACAATGAAACTATTACTAAACCTTCAAGACTTACTACAACAATACAACTATTACTACAACCTTCAGGACTTACTACAACAATATAACTATTACTACAACCTTCAAGACTTACTACAACAATACAACTATTACTACAACCTTCAAGACTTACTACAACAATGTAATATTACTACAACCATCAAGACTTACTAAAAACAATACAACTAATACTAAAAACCTTCAAGACTTACTACAACTATTACTACAACCTTCAAGACTTACTACAACAATACAACTATTACTACAACCTTCAAGACTTACTACAACAATACACTATACTACAAACCCTTCAAGACTTACTAAAAACAATACAACTATTACTACAACCTTCAAGACTTACTACAACAATGAACTATTACTAAAAACCATCAAGACTTACTACAACAATACAACTAATACTACAACCTTCAAGACTTACTACAACTATTACTACAACCTTCAAGACTTACTACAACAATACAACTATTACTACAACCTTCAAGACTTACTACAACAATACAACTATTACTACAACCTTCAAGACTTACTACAACAATGTAACATTACTGCAAACCATCAAGACTTACTACAACAATGTAACTATTACTACAACCTTCAAGATTTTACTACAACAATGAACTATTACTACAACCTTCAAGACTTACTACACAAAAACAACTATTACTACAACCTTCAAGACTTACTACAAAAATACAACTATTACTACAACCTTCAAGACTTACTACAACAATACAACTATTACTACAACCTTCAAGACTTACTACAACAATACAACTATTACTACAACCTTCAGGACTTACTACAACAACGTAACTTCTACAACAATACTTACCAATGCAGGAACGACGGTCTTCATTGCTTCTTCCTCCTCCTCTTTCCCTGGAATTCTTAGCAGTAACAGTCAGCAAAACAGCAGCAGTCAAAACCAATACAATGAAGCCCTTCATGATGTTGATGTTGATCAGTCAGGCTGTGATGCACTGCGGGAGACACGGAGAAACACTGGCTAGTTTGTTACAGGAAATTAAGGTAGTGGCTATGTGAGATGTTGGTGTTTGTGTAAGTGTGTTTGGTCGATCTCTTTCTGACAGACTTAGGGAGCACAAAAATAGTGTTAGGCTTGCCGACACTAACAATGTTCTGTTCTGTCACGACAGAGATCATAGCCATCCTATTGACTGGTCTTCTGCTAAAACTGTCTTCCCTACTTCCAACTCGAACAGTCGCCGTCTAGTTGAATCCTCTCTGATACACAACTTTCCCTTGTATGAATCTTAGTCCTGGCTTCGTCTCTGTAGATGCCTTCCTCTCCCACTACATTGTAAAATGCTCCAAACTTCAGAACACCCGTGACTTAACCTGAATCCTCATTTTTCCTTTTCTTTTTCTTCTCCCTCTTCCCCTTTCCTCTTTCCTTTTTCTCCTCTGGGTTGTCTTTCTCTCTTCTGTCTCGTGTTTCTGTTCCTTCTTCATTTATTTCACCATTCCCCTTTCACCCACCTCTGTGCGCTTGCTCTCTCTCTGTGGGCACCTAGCTCCCTTGCAGTGCTCCCCTTCCTTTGTTTTTGACTGGCTTCTCCTCCTTATTCCCCACTTCTACCACTACCACTACTACTAGCTCTTCTACTTCTACTACTACTACTACTGATGAAATTGAGACACATGTGCGACGTCTGGGTGTCTTTGTTGTGGACGTTTCGCCATCCAGTGGCTGGCTGGATGGCGTAACGTCTACGATAGGGATGCCCGGGTGTTGCGCATGTGTCTTAATTTCATCTTGTCGGTATTATATACCATTCTTGTACTACCACCACCACCACCACCACCTCTTCCTGCCTATATATAGCCGTCCTGCTCTACTTCTGGTTATTGTGACTTTGTAAATGGTCAAAGTCGGACCGAAACGTCGTCGTAAGCTTCCTCTTTTATGGCGGGGTTTTTTGTGTGTATTTCAAGAAAAAAGCCTTCACTTAATTCATGTCAATGTGAGGTCACTTTTATCCAAAATATCAGAAATTAGGATACTAGCTAAGAGAACCAGGGCGGCAGTTTTATCCGTCTCTAAATCCTGGTTGGATGACACTGTGACCAACGACGTGGTTGAAATAGGTTACAATATACATCGCCTTTGGTAAGAAAAGAAAAGGCGGTGTGTGTATGTACCTATGTAAGATATGACAACCTACATCCCAAGACCTGATCTGAATGATAAACTGGAGATTCTATGGCTTGGGGTGTTGCTACCCAAGACTTAACCCATCTTAGTAGGAAGTAGAGTGATCCTTGTCCGGAAAATTTATAGCAATCCTGAGACAGTGATATTGGGAGACTCCAATATCTGTTTCCAACAGCATAATAATGAACTATGTAACAGGTATAAACGAATTCTTGAATAAAATTGTTACACTCACAGTTCTCAGCGAACATATTAGACCACATAGTACTTTGCAATGGCTCTGACAACGTTAGTCAGTCAGGCGTCATTACAACAGCTCTTAGTGATCATTACATCATTTGTTGTACCAGGAAAATCATTATGACTCGGAGAGGCCTACACAGGTGAAATAGAAAATACAGGAAAAAAATACTGGCTAATAGGTTACAAAATTTTGACTGGACAGTGATAGCAAGTTGCACGGTCGTAAATGATGCCTGGGGAAAAAATTCTCTACCATCCTTTATAATATTACACCAGTTAAAGACGATAGGATTAAACGAAGAACTAGACCCTGGATGACTACTGAGATATTAGATAATTTGACTTTAGAGACCAGCCGCTAAAAAGGTTTAAGGAAAACAGAGAGGATATTGCAGCACTAAATGAATTCCAAAAGGGGAAGAACAGAGTGCAGAGGCTTATAAAAGGAGCAAAAGGGAAGGCTCAACTGCTCAAAAAACGAAGAGTACAAGAATAACCCTAGAAAGATCTGGCAACAGTTTGAGGGATAGCTATAAACCAGTAGATAGATCTAACATAGTAATAAATATCGATAACGAGGTATGTCACGAAACATCTAAAGTGGCAAAAAGTTTTAATTCCTGCTACACAACTGTGTCATCAACACTAGTAAGTAAACTACCAACTGATTCAGACTCTGAAAAATTGAAACATATTGGGCTAATAAGGGTATCGCTCCAATCAGTTCGCAACTAGTAGGAGAATCTTCTGACTTCGCACGAAAAGAACTAAGAATTAATGCCCACCCTAAGTTCCTAAATGGATAGGCGTCCTTGAATTACAATACCCAATTCCACACATAACATATTTGTCTATAGCCACAAATATTGTCCCGGGGGGGAATCAAGAGCCAAGTTATCCTTCTTCAAGAAAAAAAGCAGTCTGATGTCGCAAATAGAGGTCTGTTTAGTATACTCAGTGTAATATCCAAAATTCTAGAGAAAGCTGAGTACTGTCAAGTAGTTACGTACCGTAATGACAAAAACATCCTCCATAGATAACCAGTCAGGTTAAGATCTCATTCATCATGACAACCTCCCTCAATAATTTGAATGGACTACTTGAAACTCAAAGTCTTGGAATGCTCGTAAGTATGCGGTAACCTTAGACTTACAAAAGGCCTTCGATAGAGTCAAAACCACATTATAATTGTAGTATGAAACACAAGCTGTCCGAATGGATATGTAAGACGAGGTTTAAAATCCTACCTGATCAACAGGAAACAAACTGTGAAGTTTCAACAACACAGAATCTGAACCCCTGCTGTAAGACATGCTGGTTAAACAACCATAACCACGGCGTGATTTGAACCCGCGTCAGAGAGTCTCAAAACTCCAGACCGTCCCGCGTTAAACCACTGGACCAGCTACCACAATAAGATTCGGCCAACGAGGTATATTTCTACCCATAGGAAGGTTAGCATAGGCACCAACTGTGATCCACAAATGGCAAGTTTTAGTGGTTTGTCAATTACGATTTCGGTGAGACATGTGGGGTTCTCAAGATAGTATCCTGGGTCCCTTACTAGTCATGTGTGTGGACGTGAATGAAATCCCTTATCAGTGGCAGTGAATGGCATGCCTATCATACAGTGAATGACATGTCTATCAGTGCAGTGAATGACATGCCTATCAGTGCAGTGAATGACATGCCCTATCAGTGCATGATAATAGTCTCTGTTAGTAATCAGGTAAAGACCCCCAAGATATCGCTAGGGTACTATCAGAAGAACAACAGTCTTATAGCAAACTTTTGGTAGACTAAACAAATATACTGCTCAGAGGGGGGTTGAAAACGGAAGTCCGTAACTCTTTGGCACGAAACATAAATTGAATAAAGGTAATGGGTACCTATTATTTTCAGTAAATACAGTGAATATCTGGGAATCCCCTTTGACCCCCAAGCATGTGTTCAAGAGAACTAATATGGAACAGTGTAGTAAAGATAGCGAATGCCAGACAAAAGCTACTCGACAGACAGGCACAGTGTCTACCCAAACTGAGGTTCGCAAGATTACTAGTCTAACTCTCAATACAATAATAGTTAAAGACTACCTTGATTTCTTGGTACTCTGCCTTAACAAAAAAAAACATGAAAAGATGGAGCTACAAATTCAGCCGAGAACAAAATGGGAGATCATAGTGAACTTCGAGTCCAAGAGAACATGTAGGTCAGAGAGAGCTACAACAACTGGACCTGGGTCAAAGAACCATGTAAGGTTCAGAGTGATTACAACAACTGGAGATCTCTGGGTCCAAGAGAACATGTAGGTCAGAGTAGAACTACAACAACTGTACCTGGGTCCAGAGAGGAGCAAGAAGGTCAAGTGAACTACAACAACTGGACCTGGGTCCAAGAAAACAGTGTAGTCAGAGTGAACTACAACAACTGGGACCTGGGTCCAAGAGTAACAAGTAGGGTCAGAGAACTACAACAACAGGACCTGGGTCCAAGAGAACATGTAGACCAGAGTGAACTAGCACAACGGGAACCTGTGTCCACAAGAGAACATGTAGACAGAGTAGAGAGTATCAACAACTAGTTATGCTGAACGTTGAATAACAGTGGTAAAATAACTAAAGTAATATCGTTTTATAAAATTGTTCACAACCAATGTCCCTAATATCTTGCTGCCATTTCGTATAAGGTCGAGAACCCAAACAATTATATGAATTAGAGGAAAAGAGAAGAACTTTGCTGTACCTTGAGTCAAGTGGTCAGCCTGCAAATACCTTTTAATGACAGCTAAAAAGTATGGAACAGACAGCCTGTACATGACAGTCTGTCAACGTATGAGGCCAGCTCTCGAATAGAGGCAAAATGTTACATCATGAATAATGCTAACAGAAAGTCAGGAGAGTGATTTCTTGCATATCTAAGATATATATATATATATATATAATATAATATCTATATATATAATATATATAAATATATTATAAATAATATATATATATATATATATATATATATATATAATGCATACGATAATCTGATCCTATCTTTATTGTCAGTGAAAATTAACTAAAATTTACCTCCCCTTGGTTATCTCTTTTATCGTAACTCATTTACATAGTTAAGATATTTACCTGTTTTTAACTTTTAAATATAAATAATACTTAATACAAGGACCCCTATAGAAACATGTCACTTTGTTTTTTTGGGTTATCCCAGGTTCTGTACACATATGTAGCTATGTATGGTAATTTATGTAACTGTATTTGTGTATTCCTGAATAAACTTACTTAGCCAAGAATTACAACAACATTGTATCCAGTCATTCATGAATGTCAAGGATTATATCAATAATGTATCCAGTCGTTCACTAAGTTCAAGGATTACAACAACGTTGTAGCCACACATTCACTAAGATTACATCCAGTCATTCATGAAGGTCAATGATTACATCAACATTGTATCCAGACATTCACTAAGTTCAAGGATTACATCAACATTGTATCCAGACATTCACTAAGTTCAAGGATTGCAACATCATTGTATCCAGTCATTCACTCAGATAAGGGATAAACAAAAACAGACTCAACTCACAAAAAAATTCCTTCAGATAACTGCAACATCTCAGAACAACACTCACCAACAGTACAGATGTCAGACTTCCTTCGCTGGTACACAACTTCTGACACCAGGATGGCAAGGGTGCGCATATATACTCACATACCCCCTCCCCCCTTCCCCCTCCAAAATATAAAGGCTGCTTCTTAAAGGAAGCAGTTACTTGAGTTTGATGTACCTTTATCCTTGGCTGTCATTGACCAAAAATATCGGAAACTCAGAAATCATCACACAATTGGTATGCTGCAGCTAGCATAAGTGTCACTACCGCGTCATTTCCCGTCTCCTAACATTTGACTGCCCAGGAGAATGTGACGAGAAATCCGGGAACATGAATGTTTCCGGTAACGAGGGTTCAGCCGGAGGACATGAAGCAATTCACTGCCAGCAAGCCTGTCTACCCAATTATTTACAACACATGACTTGTGAGTTATTCTTTTTTGTTTATTAGGTAAATATTTCTGCGTAGATGACTCTTAAGACATTAGTGGACAGATTGTGAGTGAGAAGATTGTATTTGAAATCAGGGGATCAGCCGGGCTGTGGCTCGTACGTTGGTTTGCGTGCAGCCAGCAGCAACAGCCTGGTTGATCAGGCTCTGATCCACCAGGAGGCCTGGTCACAGACCGGGCCGCGGGGCGTTGACCCTCCCCGGAACTACACCTCCAGGTAACACCAGGTAAACACACACACACATACACACACAGACGCTCAACTATGTACACAACACACACACACACACACACACAACACACACACAACACACACCACACACACTACACATACACGCACACACACACACACAGTAGTGACAGCGAGCGCGCTCGTCCACGCCTTTCCGTATGCTCCGGAATATAAGTGTTTTGAGGGCTACGCAGTGTTTCTGCAAGGGTTAGCTAAGTGTGTCAGGGTAAGTGAACCAATCCCTAGAAGTGATTTTTAATTCTGCCCTGAGCCACATAAGTGGAGAGAGCACAATTTTGTAAGTGATCTAGAAAATAAAAACTTGTGGCGCAGAGTGGGCAGGCCTATTGTGCAAGGCGACGTTGTCAAGTGTCACAACCAAGAAAGATAATAAAGTGAAACAATCCTGTGTGACCATGAAGAGAAATACAGTGAAATAGGTAAACATTATATAACGAGAAGAAAATGAGTGTGGATCTACGCCAGACGTTACATCGAGCTTGTAACTTCGCCAGGACTCACATCGAGCTGGACAATCTACAGTGCTCCAGCTGCATACAAGGTACAGTATCAACCTATATGTGGTTGTTTGGGTGTGGGGTGCCAGGGTTCCAATTAACCGCACAAGCTGAATGTGACATGGGGGGCTAACTCTCATAGCACTATATAGCATAGCACTCGAAGTATTCAATAAGGAAGTAGAAAATGGTAATCCATTGAACAAGGCGATTAACTTACTATAAGCAGTCGAGCATAGAGCAACATTGTAATAGGTGAGCGTAAGTCCTAGGAGGGTGGGAGTCAGGTCACAAGAGGTTGTGGACACAAGCGACACTGAGAAACCACATTACACTCCAACTCAAGCCACCTACTTATTTCAGACACATAATAAACCCACACATAATTGACACATAATTACACACAAGCACACACACGATAACACACACACACACACACACACACACGACACACATTAACACACACAACACACACACCACACACACACACACACACATTACATACATACACACACAGCTGCTATGCAACTTGTACACTCAAGGGAAGCGTTGGACCAGACAACATCTCTATATGGGTCCTTAAAGAGGGAGCAGAGATATTGAGTGAGCCATTAACAAAGATCTTCAACAATCATTTGAAACAGGGTCAACTCCCAGAGGTTGGAAAATGGAATGAAGTCCCATTTTTAAAAAGGGAGAACAACTGAGGCAACTAAACTACAGACCTGTATCACTAACGTGTAAAGTATGCAAGGTCCAGGGAGAAGATCATCAGGAGTAGATGGTGGTGCACCTGGAAAGAAACAAGTGTATAATTGACAACCAAGCACGTTTTCAGGGAAGGAAAATATCCTGTGTCACAAACCACTAGAGTTTTATGACTAAGATACAGAAGTAAGACAAAGAGAGAGAGGGTGATCGACTGCATATTTTGGATTGCAAAGAAGGCCTTTCGGACACAGTTTCCTCACATAAGAGGTTACTGCAAAAGTTAAGGAAAAGCACAGCATTACCAGGAAAAGGCCCTGCAATGGATCAAGAGAATATCTGACAGGGAGGCAACAACGATCATGGTACGCGACGAGGTGTCAGAGTGGGGCGCCTTTGACAAGCGGGGTCCACAGGGGTCAGTTCCTAGGACCTGTGCTGTTCCTTGGTATATGTTAAACGACATAACGGAAGGGAATAACTCAGAAGTGTCCTTGTTTGCATGATGATCGAAGTTAATGAGAAGAATCAAATCGGACGAGGATCAAGGCAGGACACAAAGAGACCTGTACAGCGCTACAAGCCTGGTCCAGCAACTGCTCTAGAATTTAACCCAGCCAAAATGCAAAGTCATGAAGATTTGGGAAGGGCAAAGAAACCTGGGGGGTGGGGGGGGGGGGGGGGGGGGAACCAACAATATAGTTTAGATGGCCAAAGACTGCAAACCTCACTCAAGGAAAAAGATGCTGGGGGTGAGTATAAACACCGAGCATATCTTCTGAGGCGCACATCAATCAGAATAACTGCGCTAGCATACGGCGCCTGGCAAACCTAACGATAGCGTTCGCGATACCGATCAGTAGAAAGATACGTTTAAGACTCTGTATACCATCTGCTCAGCCCATACTGGGAGTATGCAGCACCAATTTTGGAATCCACACCTAGTCAAGCACATCAAGAAAATTAGAGAAAGTGCGAAAGGTTTGCAACACGACTAGTCCCAGAGCTACAGGATTGTCCTACGAAGAAAGGTTGAGGAAATCCAGGCCCTGACGACACTTGGAGGACAGGAGGGTCAGGGGAGACATGATAACGCATAAAAATACTGGTCCGGAATGATGACAACAGTGAACAAAAGACGGGATGTTCCAGAGATGGGGGACACAGACACAAAGTCACAATTGGAAGTAGAAACTCAGACGAATCAAAGGATGTTTAGGAAGTATTTCTTCAGTATAGAGGTAGACAGGACATGGAATAGCCAAGAAAGGATGTAGTGGAGGCAGAACCATATACATATTTTAAGGCAGTAATGATAGAGCTCATGGGCAGGAGAGAGAGTACCTAGTAGCTATCAGCGAAGAGGCGGGGCCAGGAGCTGTGACTCGACCCCTGCAACCACAAATAGGTGAGTACACACAACACACACACACACACACACACACACACACACACACACACACACACACACTCACACACACACACACACACACACACACACACACACACACACACACACACACACACACACACACACAACCACACACACACATAAGACAAAGAACGAAGGAACACTGCAGAAGGCCTACTGGCCCATGCGAGGCAGGTCCAAGTCTCCTACCGGCTTAAGCCAATGCACCCAACCTAGTCAGGTCAGGTCACATTGACTTAAGGGAGGAACACGGCAACCAACCTGGTAGTACAAGCTATCAGGTCCAACTCACACCCACCCACATCCACTCATGTATTTATCCAACCTATTTTTAAAGCTACACAACGTTCTGGCCTCTATAACTGTACTTGGGAGTTTGTTCCACTCATCCACAACTCTATTACCAAACCAGTACTTTCCTATATCCTTCCTGAATCTGAATTTTTTCAACTTAAAACCATTGCTGCGAGTCCTGTCTAGGCTAGATATTTTCAGCACACTATTTACATCCCCTTTATTTATTCCTGTCTTCCATTTATACACCTCAATCATATCCCCCCTAATTCTACGTCTTTCTAGAGAGTGCAGATTCAGGGCCCTTAGTCTATCCTCATAGGGAAGGTTTCTGATACATGGGATCAACTTTGTCATCCTCCTTTGTACATTTTCCAGAGAATTTATATCCATTCTATAATACGGTGACCAAAACTGTGCAGCATAATCTAAATGAGGCCTAACCAAGGATGTATAGAGTTGAAGAACAACCTGAGGACTCCTATTATTTATGCTTCTTGATATGAAGCCAACTATTCTATTAGCTTTATTGCGAACACTTATGCACTGTTGTCTTGGTTTCAGATTACTGTTAACCAGAACTCCTAAATCTTTTTTGCAATCCGTAATATTAAGATCTACATTATTTAGTTTATATGTGGCATGGTTATTGTCCTGTCCAACATTTAGAACTTTGCATTTGTCTATATTAAACTGCATCTGCCACTTCTCCGACAACTGCATCAGTCTATTCAAATCTTCCTGGAGTGCTCGAATGTCCTCGTCAGAATGAATTCGACGGCCTATTTTGGTGTCATCGGCAAACTTGCCGATGTCGCTCTTTATGCCCTCATCTATGTCGTTTATGTAGATTGTGAACAGCAGGGGGCCCAACACTGACCCCTGTGGAACACCGCTCGTGACGCTTCCCCACTCTGATTTCTCCCCATTTATGCAAACTCTCTGCTGCCTATTTGTCAACCATGCCTCTATCCAGGAAAAAATTTCTCCTCCTATTCCATGGGCCTTAATTTTCCTCAATAGTCTCTGATGTGGGACCCTGTCAAAAGCCTTACTGAAGTCCATATACACAATATCATATTCATTAAATGATCTACTCCCTCAAATACCTTAGTGAAAAAAGTTAATAAATTCGTAAGGCAGGAACGCCCCTTTGTAAAACCATGCTGAGATTCGTTGATTAATTTATGCAACACAAACACACACACACACACACTCACACACACACACACACACAACACACACACACACTCAAAACACATACACACACACACACAAACACACACACATACACACACACAAACACACACCCACAAAACACACACACACACACACACACACACACACACTCACACACACACACACACACACACACACACACACACACACACACACCCCACACACACACCCCACACAACACACACACAACACACACACACACACACACACACACGCATACACACAATACACACACACACACACACACACACACCAACACACCTACTGGAGTTCTATGACAT